TCATGTTTGAGTTTCTTTTTATAGCCATTCCATGAACTTGGTAATTTTGCAATAATGGCTCCAACTTCAAATGCTTCAGGCAAGACAATTTCAGTATTCTTAAGATTACTAACAATAATTTGTAATTCATGTACCTGGACAAAAATAGACTTACTATCTGTCATCTTGAAATCAAAGTAATTACCGATCAAGAATTTCTGGTTGCTTGCCTCTTCAGTACGATACTTGTTGTCCAATGTCAGTCACAATTCTTTTGCTGTTCCAATAGTCCTGTGTGCGCTGTAAGCAGAATCCGATAGTGTATTCAGAATATGACCTCTGCACAGAAAATCATCATCCTTCTGTTTCTTCCGTTATTCTTGTAATTCCTTCTTACGTTCATCTGAATTATCTGCTTTTTCTTCTGGAATAGGCGCAAGATCATCAAATCCTGATTCATGACTTTAATTGAAGGTGCCACAGATTCATTTACTGCCAAATCTTGAAATGAAGGCATCTCTTAAAACTGTTTGAAAATATGTAAGAAAATCTGGAAAAACTAATGAACTCCAAGGCACGAAAATCGTTATCTTTTAAGAGATGTTTCTCCCTTATCCAACAAAGTCACGACAGGGGTCTGATAGAAAATCTCTTTCAGGATACAATGGAGGCGTTTGATTCAAACCGTGGCTATTTAATCAAACTAAGAAAACACTCTTTAAAGAAACTGATGATGCCAAGAGAGAAGAGAGAAGAATAGTAAATAAGGAAATTTTTAATCTGTTTTGCAAATGAGAATTCGCCTAGAATATATAGAAATGGAGGCAACAATTTGAATATGTGTGTCCCTTGAAATGAACGCATATGTTGGAAGAAATATACATATTCAAAGACTTTTGAAAATAAAATTCGCAAATGAGAATTCGTCCAGGTCGATCCCTATTGCGTAGCGGCAAAACACTAGTCGGGGCGACAAAATATCTAACAATTCTTCTGGTTGCCCACTCACCACCTCTTTTTCGAGGCCATTCAAATCAAGGGCTAAAGACGTTTGATTTCAGCCTAATGAACTGCCCTATACGGTAAGGTTTTGCCATCTGGAACTTTGAGTAGTTGCCCTTCCAAAGAGTCTCCAGTCCTATAAATGCAACAGCCACACTTCCATCATGGGTAATCGAATGAAGAACACCCACAGGCGAATGCTTTTTGTCTTCTTTCTTCAGACGAACCCAATCTCCCGCAGCCAATCCAAACGTGACAAGCTTAAATGTAGAAACATGAACTCTTATCGGGGTCCTGAATTCCATGTATCCTCACTAACACATTTCCATCCTAATCAGTATCACGTTCCAGACCAACTACAGTCCCCTCCGGGACACCCCTGTATTTTGGGTTGCAAGAGTCCGGTTATTTCCTAGATCGCACCATGTCGCCTACTTGGAGATGGTCCTTTGTAAGGAACCACTCGGTATAACCACTACCACTTGGTTTCTCCCTAATCATTCTGCTTCCAAGTCCCATCCAGCCTCTATCCTGGTAAACTGCAAACATAGTAAAAGTAAAAGTCAGCTAAAAATAAAGGCATCGCCTCTTGAAGCCTGAATACCCTTTCAAAAGAATGCTAATCCTCTCCAGTATCAGGAACCTACTGCAGAAGCAGAACAAATGTGCTCCTAGTAAGAAATTGCAATAGTATGCCTTGTGATTAATAGATTATACGCATCATTTCTGAATAATTTTTGGCAAAATCTTTATGAGGCAACCATTTGAATACGTGTGTCCCTTGAAATGAATGAACGTGTATGTTGGAAGAAACATACATATTCAAAGACTTTTGAAAATAAAATTCACAAATGAGAATTTGTCCAGGTCGATCCCCGTTGCGTAGCGGCAAACACTAGTCAGGGATGTAAAATATCTAACAATTCTTCTGGTTGCCCACTCACCACCTCTTTTTCGAGGCCATTCAAGTCAAGGGCTAAAGACGTTTGATTTCAGCGTAATGAACTGCCCTATACAGTAAGGTTTTGCCATCTGGAACTCTGAGTAGTTGCCCTTCCAAAGAGTCTCCAGTCCTATAAATGCAACAGCCACACTTCCATCATGGGTAATCGAATGAAGAACACCCACAGGCGAATGCTTTTTGTCTCCTTTCTTCAGACGAACCCAATCTCCCGCAGCCAATCTAAATGTGACAAGCTTAAATGTAGAAACATGAACTCTTATCGGGGTCTTGAATTCCATGTATCCTCACTAACACATTTCCATCCTAATCAGTGTCACGTTCCAGACCAACTACAGTCCCCTCCGGGACACCCTTGTATTTTGGGTTGCAAGAGTCCGGTTATTTCCTAGATCGCACCATGTCGCCTACTTGGAGATGGTCCTTTGCAAGGAACCACTCAGTATAACCACTACCACTTGGTTTCTCCCTAATCATTCTGCTTCCAAGTCCCATCCAGCCTCTATCCTGGTAAACTGCATTTTGTGAACTGCAAACATAGTAAAAGTAAAAGTCAGCTAAAAATAAAGGCATCGCCTCTTGAAGCCTGAATACCCTTTCAAAAGAATGCTAATCCTCTCCAGTATTAGGAACCTACTGCAGAAGCAGAACAAATGTGCTCATAGTAAGAAATTGTAATAGTATGCCTTGTGATTAATAGATTATACGCATCATTTATGAATAATTTTTGGCAAAATCTTTAATTTGGCTAAATAAACAAATTCAGAGTAGATCATCATTTCCATTATTGTATACATGCTCCATTCAATAAAACATCATCTCATATTTATTTGGAGAGAATCAATATAATTCGAGACATCGTAAGGTAGGTGCAACAACCTTGTCATTTGAACCGAGTCAGATGCAGCATATTGTTCAAAGGGAATGTCACTAGTATTTGCACATGAAATCAAAAGATCCCTGTTCAGAACCACCCTTAGCAAACTGTGTGTGCTTTAAAAAGTGTTACCAAAATGTTCCCAGACGCATTGAGCGCAAGTGCTTTGGATATAATAAATATAACCAATACCTCTTAAATGCATGTAATATGTATGCCATTAGAGGGCGACTCCTGTTGTCATGCTCAAAACAACCAACAACGACATTTTCTATGGCTGGAGGGAGGCCACTAAGAATATGTGGCTTTTCTTGTTTCTTTACAACCAAGTTATGCATTTCATCGACTGATTTACCACTCCGAGAGAGAATTCCAGTCAACATCTCCACAATGCTGCAACCAAATCCCCATGCATCAGTCTCGATATTGGACCTCTCATTTCTGGTTCCCATTGTTCTGGAGCCATGTAGTTGGGAGTACCAAGTCTTTGAGTCATCTCTGTATTTGTTAATGAAACCCCAAGAAGCACATGAGGAATTCCAATGTCCCCAAGAATTGCCCTGTCATTCTCGTTCAAAAGGAAATTAAAAGGTTTAAGGTTGAGAATAAGGATGTCTTTTGCATGAAGGTCCATTATTCCTTGAGCAAGATCTGCTCCGTACCTGTAGACAACCATAACTAAAAAACGTGAAGATTATGTGCTTCTAATGCAATAATTTTTTGTATAGCATAAAGTCCAAGAATATGAGATGAGCAAAAATCACCTCAGAACATCACTCAGGGACAATTTCCCCCCTTTGTATCGAGCCATTTTGTCACCAACCGAGCCCTCGTAAATTTCATAACAATACAAATCTAGAAGGAAACAAACATAGAGCAGTTATTGCATCTTTTTCCCTTACTTGAGACAAATGGAAACCTAGTAAATTTTTCAAAATTAAAAACAAGACTTTGAACGGAGAACTTACTCTCTTACTAATAATGGAAAGTCCATGCAGCCAACAAATGTTTTCTAACCCTCGACACCTGGAAAGCAAATTATCCAACTTATTCAAGACATCTCTAATGTTATCTTCTTTTACAGGATGTAACATTTTAATGGCCACTTCATGATACTCCTCGTAGTGTTCAGTATTGCTATGATGAGTTGCAAGCCAAACATCACCAAAAGGCCTTCTTCCAATTCTGTGCCTCAATTTAATTGTTGCAGGGTCAATCCATGGGTTGATCTGATTAGATGATGCTATAATAGTACTACTGTCACCAGAATCATCTTCAACAAGCTCGAACTCAAATAATGATGTTGGTCGTTCCGAAACAACTTGTCCAGCCATTTTTCCTAGTGTTTCCATAATGGAATTGTTTTAAAGCACGTTGCTTGAAGAAGTCACAAACCAGAGAGTAAAACAAAATGAAATTCTATAGAACCATGTAGTTAATTGTTACGAAAATAAATTTGATGGATACTAATCAATTGCTATCAATTCTATTTCCGAAAGGGGCAACTAACAATTGACTCTGATTTGACCAATATTTCCATATGGGTTGTGACAGGATGGCAGTAATAATTATCCTCGATAGCCAATAAGGTGAGAACTATTTGATATGCATTCCACGCAGAGCACCACATAGGTCATGTACCACTATAAGGCCGTCTAGCACCATGAGGCCCTCTACGTTCACATAGGCCGTCTTCCACTATGAGGCCGCCAACCCCAAGATTAAAGAAAAAATTACAAAAATTCTAATACTGCCCTGCCCCTTGCATCTTTGTTAACCTAAGTTGAGCCCTGGCTGCAAAACATGGATTTTCTACTGCAAAGCCTCAATCAAACATTGATTCAAGATGCAGTATCTTCCTTGATGAAGCTTACTTAAAGAAAGAGCAGATACTTCCTGTATACAAGGTAAGATATAGTAGCCATTTACAAAAAAATCCCCCCAAAAATGTGCTTTCCTCGCTTTTGCTAAAGTTTCTACTGCATTCCTCAAGAAACATTTCATTTTCATTTTCAGTTTAGGAAACAATAAAATTTTCACAATTTGCCTGTTACTCCATCAAAATTCAATCTTAAACAAATTTTGATTAAAAAAAGAAAACACAAACGAGAATTCTAATTTACAACTATACTACTAATAATCAGATAAAAAGCAAAATTTTCTCATTATCAAAATTCAAAATTATGATTTATTATTCCCTTCTTTTCAGAAAATTAAATTTATACATAAATAAACTAAGAACAAATAAAGACCCATAATTTTATTTTCCATATCCATCTTCTACCCTAATTCACTCAAAAACAGCAAAATTAACATCATTAAAAGACTAAAGAAAGAAATCTAACAACGTAAACGATCAGAAATCCTCGCTTCTGTAGAGAGAGAGAGGTCGGCTCAGTCCGGCTTTTGGAAACAAATTTATTTCCAATAATAAAAAATAAAAAGATTTAACAAATTTGAGATTTGCAAGGAAACTGGAAAGAGTACGTAACTCACTAGGATTCAAATTTCCTTGATGAAATATCATCAAAATCTTTTATATATATAAACCAGTACAAACATTAAACCCTTGGAATTTGCAGTAAACCCTAGAAATTAACAATCATGGGTTTTTCAAATCCCTCAGTAACATACCCATTACTTTTTCTCGTTCTCTTCTTTTATTGCCTCAACAATCAATTTCATTTTCTGCAGCCCTTCTCTTCTTCCCCTTCATCAATTTCCACTCACAAGCACCAGGATCAGGTACGAGTTACAGAGATTTTAATCTCTTCGTGGCATGTTTGATAAGGTTTCATCATATCCGTCACACAATGCTGTTTTCCTGTTTGTGTTAATGATATTATTTTATTTATTTTTATATTTTGAGGTGTCGAAGATTAATGGCAGTATCGAGTTTGAGCCACTGGAAGAAGGGTTGTCACGAGCTCGAGCAGCTATACGTGAAGCCAGTCGACGACGAACCTATATAGCTCCCAAGAATGAGAGTTTCATCCCCAGAGGTCCCATTTACAGAAACCCTTATGCTTTTCACCAGTTAAGCAAATTTGTCAAACCCTATGATTTCTTGTTTAAATAATTTCAGATGGGATTAATTAAGAGGAAGAATTGTGCTCTTTCTTTCTTTAGATTCTATAAATTGTTAAAAATTGCATGCACCATATTTGAACTCTTTGACAATTCACATTTTACTTTTTTTGCAAGTTTAAAATATTGGTATTTTCTCCATAATTGATGTTCTTGTTTTACTTATATTTGTGCTAAATTATAATAGGTTGTTAATTTTGCAAGATCATCTATGAGCATATGTTTAGTATATCTGAATAGGATTGATATTAACGTAGACAATATTTTAACTTTTTTCTTCCTTAATTATTGTCTAATCTTGTTGACTAACAAACAAAAAATTATAGAAATTAAGCATCTGATTTGCTAAACATAATCTATGACCATGGTACATTAGGAGCCACATAGAGATGGAGAAGAGGTTCAAAGTGTGGGTATACAAGGAAGGAGAGCCACCATTGTTTCACAGAGGACCCTTGAAAGACATTTATGCTATTGAAGGCCACTTCATCGACGAATTAGAGAATGGAAAGAGTCCGTTTCTTGCGCGCCACCCTGACGATGCGCACGCCTTCTTCCTCCCCGTTGGCATTGCAAAGGTTATTCGATATCTATACAGTCCCCGACTGGATTATGACCGCTGGCGCCTCCAAAGCGTCGTTACTGATTATATAAGTGTCGTATCGAATAGATATCCCTACTGGAACAGAAGCACTGGAGCAGATCATTTCTTTGTGGGCTGTCATGATTGGGTAAGATTACATACTTCGTGTACAACACAGAGAAAAGAATAAAGTTAAAATATTGTTTCTTATACAGTTTCGAAATGCTTCATGAGACGGATTGAAGTTTAATTCTTTATATTTCAGGGACCAGATGTTTCAAATGCCAGTCCTAAGTTGTATAAAAACCTTATCAAAGTGTTATGCAATGCCAATATTACTGAAGGTTTCCAGCCAGCAAGAGATGTTTCATTGCCTGAAATTAAAGTCCCTTCGAAAGCATTGGGGCCACCTGATGTCGGGCAGGCCTCCAACAACCATCGTCCGATCTTAGCTTTCTTCGCCGGAGGACCTCATGGTCACGTTAGAAGAAGATTGTTCGAGTACTGGAAAGACAAGGATTCAGACATTCAAGTCCATGAATACTTACCGAAAAATGTAAGTTATTTTGAAACGTTAGGTCAAACCAAGTTTTGCCTGTGTCCAAGTGGATGGGAGGTGGCAAGTCCAAGGTTGGTCGAATCCATGCACGCCGGATGTGTACCAGTGATCATTTCCGATGGCTACGTTCTGCCATTTAGTGATGTTCTTGACTGGAGCAAATTTTCCGTACATATTCCGGTGGCTCGGATACCGGAGATTAAGACAATCTTGGAAGGGATTTCCATAGATGATTACTTGAAAATGCAGAAGCTAGTTTTGCAAGTGAAAAGACATTTCACTCTTCATCGACCGGCTCAACCATTTGATTTGTTATATATGATTCTTCATTCTTTGTGGCTAAGGAGGCTTAATATTAGATTAAGATTGTAATAAGAGGGAGTACAATTTTATTTTATTTTTTCTCAGAAAAGTAAAAATATATACCTCACCCCCTTTTCTGTCTCCTCTTTTTTTCCCCGTCAACAAACGGTCCCTATATCAAGGCTGGCCCCAACGCTTTCGAAGGCACGACGTAGTTTTTTTTTTGTTATTTTTGAATATATATTTGTTTTTATAGTACAAATTAATTTTGACGAGTATCTACTGGGAATTTTCTTTGCTTGGGTTGGCAAATTTGATTTTTTGTTGTTTATATGACCCTGATTCACGTTTGAATCTTTCCTATTGCCCAACTTAATTTGAATAGAAAAACTTTCAATCCATAAATAAATTTTACTATACTGAGTTAAATTATTATTTTTTTTTCGAAGTAAAGGCGAATAAAGTTTTATGGATCTTTAAAATTGTTCATTTTAAAAGCATGTTTGTTACGTAAGATGCGACGATAGAAAATATAATAAATAGTTTACGACATCTATTTCAAAAGAAAAATCTATCCTTGGGGATTAGGATTTAAACTAGATTTTTGATTTGAACCAACCTCCACTACCAAAAATATCAAGAGATCAAAAGCCCTGAAAACAAGAACAGAAGCAAAACCTTACGAAATTCAAAATTATTATGATGCATATGATTAACGACAAATATTTATCAATTGTTATGTTCAATTCAATGCGTTATAATATGAAATTTCAAATTTTACAGCCTCGATATGAGTGAAACTAACGAATCTTCTTTAGGAGAGTAACATGAGACTGTTAAGCATTTACTTTCAACGTTGTCAAGTAGTATATGAAGTATGAATCTTTGAAAATGACCCATTTACCATATTGACTGAAATTCATTTGATCTCAACATGTTTTTTACTGTTTTGACTGATTTACCATTCATATGGAAAAAATTTTGAAACCAATTTTACATTATGGTAAACAAAAAAATTCACTTCTATGTAAGAAAAATATTTAAGAAGATGAAATTTTATTCGATAATTGTTAGCCCTGAATGGCAAAATCACATTGAAAAGAATTGTTACCCATTTATATTATCATCAATATTAAGAATCACTAAAATATAGTGTTTCAAAAGCACAAAATGTGATTAGGCGACAAGAACGAGTTTTTATGATCCTAATCGGGCCTAAACCTTGTTGTCTTGAAAAACGGGGAAGTGATTCACTTTATATACAGAAGGTGTGCGGTAAAATTACCTAGGTCACGTCTTGTTATAATGTTACTTTGTTAAATTAGTGATTTGTGATTGGTAGATAGGGCAATAAAGAGTGCAACGATTACCTATTTTATTGTACCAATAATAGAAGTGTCTTTTCTTAAAACCAAAACTTTAGGAGTGATTGTTAAACATCCATTTTTACTTAATAAGAATTTTATGCCTATAACAAATTCATCTTTTACTAATCTTTTATTTAATTGGCTTACACCCTAACATGTCCCATCGGCCTCCCAATTGGCGGGTTCGAACAGCCGTGAGACAAATCCTCTAGCTTCTGGTAATCTTTTATATGGTCAATTAGTCCATTTGGCTATGAGTAAAAACAGCTTAAAATGTAGTTAGACAACAAAATTAATCTACACTAAGGTGGCATCTAAGCGCACTTTTTAGAAGACTGCTAAAAATATGTTGGATTTTGCTATTGGTACCTTTGTGCTTACCCGTTAGACTACACTGTGATGTGGAAAGGCAACTTTTTAAAAAAAAGGCGTGAAAAGGAAAGACAAATTTCAATTAAAAGACGGAGGAAAAGGCGGGCAATAAGAGAAGAACGGAGGAAAAGGCAGGCAATTGGACCAAATACACAATTGCTACCTGACCAGAGATGAAAACCCAGATGGAAGCTTGCGAAAACACCAGCAAATCGGCACCAAATATTAAACCTACCGCCCAGAAGCATGTATTTCAGATTTAAGGCTCATTGCTTTCAGTTTCCCCCAAATTCGTTTATGTGATTAATGAGCCTGATAAAGAGGTTTAGGGAAGAGGTGTTCCAACTCGAAGCAGTCGCCATCTTCATACATTCAGCTGTATTAGAAAGAGTTGTTCCTGCTTGAAGCTATAGCCGGCTTCGTTGATGCGTCCAAATGACGGAAAAAGGTATATTTTTGACGGATTTCTTGTCAGCTCATTTTTTACCCAATTGTTCTGTGAAAATGTTCAACTCGTTTTTCATTTTGCTTTCAACCGAAGAATTTGATGTGTGTTAAATAAGTTCAACAATTAATTTTTACAATTTACCATCCATTCTCTTAACAAAAAGTTCTGAAATGTCTCTTTACAAAACATATTTAGTTTAACGATTTCTACAATGACTTATGTGTTGCAAAGATGTTGATTTTTAGAGTGATGTTGAAATAGTTGAATTAGGGGAAAGAGTTAACGCGTTGAAAATTAACATCTTTGCCGAAATAGTTATCTGTTAGATGACGTCGTTCTAGTACAAAGTCATTGTAGAAATTTAACAACTCTTTCAGATGAGTCATTGTAGAAATTTATTGAAGAGGGGAAAATTAACCTCACATTTGATGTATTTATTGCAAGCAAGGAAATACGAGAGGAGGCGGATGACGTCATTCTATTAGAGTAGGAAAATGACAACATTTTGGATAGCGCGAACGACGTAGATGTTGGAATTATAAGAGTAGACGGTGTGATTGTACCCGAGGTGGGTATGAAATTCAACGAGGAAAAGGAAATATATAATTTTTATAAAAGATATGCGTACGACGTAGGTTTCCAGTTAGAAAAAGAAATTCACAAAAGGATGATGATGGAATTGTAAGATATGTTGTATTTACATGTAGCCCAGAAGGTGGAAGGAGTCGTACTACGAGCGGTTCTTTGAAGCCGCAAACTACCATTCAGACAGGCTGCAAAGCCAGGCTCACTGCATCTACAGATGCATGTGGAATCTGGAGAATTAACACAGTCAATCTCATTCACAATCATAAAACAAGTCCTTCAAAGTCCAGATTGTATCGTTGCAAAAGAGAATTGAGTGCCCATGTTAAACGACGGCTTGAAGTAAATGATATGGAAAAATATTTTTTGGGCAGACAATAGAAGTAGGCAAGCATATAAAAAGTTCGACGATGTTGTAACATTTGATACGACATACCTAGCTAATAAGTACGACATGTTGTTTGCTCCTTTTGTTGGATTTAATCATCATGGACAATCAATACTTCTTGGATGTGGGTTGGTCTCAAATGAAAATACAGAAACATTTACATGGCTTTTTAGGACTTGGCTTCAGTGTATGCATGGCCAAACTCCTATTGGAATTATTACTGATCAAGATATGGCTATACAGAACGCAATTCAGATCTTGTTCCCAAACACGAAACACAGATAGTGCTTATGGCACATATTAAAGAAGTTGGCTAAGAAGTTTGGATACCACATCGATAAGGGCGAGATATTTTCTGCTAAACACGTACTAGTATATGATTGTCAAATCGTTGAGGAATTCGAAGAAGGTTGATGGTGGACAGATATTCCTTGCATGATAATGAGTGGTTGTCGGGATTATATGCCAACGGATGTAGTTGGGTGCCGTGTTTTTTAAAAAGCAGCTTCTGGGCGGGAATGTCTACTACTCAGCGAAGTGAGAGTATGAATGTGTTTTTCGATGGTTATGTGCACTCGAAGACGTCGCTGAAACAATTTATTGAACAATACGAGAGAGCACTAAAGAATAAGGTAAAGAAGGAGTTTCAAGTAGATTTTAAATCATACTCACAAATGGTTCCATCCGCAACGAAGTACGAGTTGGAGAAGCAGTTTCAAAGAGTTTATACCCCTTGGAAACAGCATCTAGTAGAGATAAGGTATTGCGGGGTACATATCGTGTAATGGTTTTTTTTTTTTTAAATTACGATGCAGTTGACCAGTAATTATCCGTTGATTATGCAATCACATCTGACTTTGAGTACATGAAGGGGATGGAAGACATGCCCAAGTAAACTGGGAGGTATTGCTTCAATCGCACATGTTACTAATCAAGGTATGTGTTAATCATTGTAAAAATATCGTTTAAGTCGTGCTATAGTTTGAGTAATACTCTTATTATTTCCCAGTAGGTAATGCAATACCTTACTATTATCAAGTTGTACCTCACCAAGGTGGCGTGGAAGGTGTTGTGCCGATCATACATGCGCATGATGCATGTATGCGTTAATCATTTTTGGTATCTAGTTGAAGTCGTGCTCTAGTTTCCTCAATACTCATCTTATTTTCCAGAGGGCAATGCATTGCCTTACTTTTATTCAGTTGTACCTCACTAAGGTGGTGTAGAAGATGTTGTGCCGATCGTACACGCGCATGATCAAGGTATGCATTAATCATTTTAGAATTTCTTTGAAGTCGTACTCTAGTTTCTTTAACACTCTTATTATCACTACTGTAGAAAACGTAATGACGTACTATCATCCACCTGTACCTCACAAAAGTGGCGCAAACATGTGAGGAAGCATCATGTGGAACAATGGAAGTAGCATCATCACTTAGGGAATGGAAGCATGTAGTTCATTGTTTAATTTCTGTTGTCTAATTCTTGTTTAACAATTGAAGCATGTAGTTCATTTACACTATGGTTGTATTTGCTGAAACAAATTCAATTATACAGTTGATGTTATTAGATGAGTTTGATTTGTGTTTCATGGGTTTTTATACTTCTATTTTGTGTTTCGTTTCAATGGAAATTGATTGAGCGACTAAACTATTCAGTTATTAGCAGCTAACGTTAAATGACAGGTTCATAAGTACAGGTTAAGTTAATTTCTTAATGTCTAACATGCTTTACATCATGTCTCAGTTACCATTCCTAAGTCCAGCATTCTTTATTAAACTCAGATGAAGGAGCACCAAAACAGTCACCTAGTTAACCAATGTGCACACAGCTAATTTGAGAATTCTGCATTGACATTACTCAGATAGTTGTGAAAATACATTACAGACATCCTCAGCCTACACTAAATTCTCCTACATTATAGTCAACCAATTAAAGTTATCCACTTAATCATTCTCCATACCAACATCCTCAGCATACCTTACATTCACCCGACTAACACCAACTGCACATACCAGCAGAACAAGACTACATTAGCAAAAACAAAACACATACTACACATCACAAGTTGCAGGACGTGAAACTAATGCCAACATGATAGACTAATCATGCCGGTCCCTTCCCTTTCTTAGCTACTTCCACACTTTCGCTGACCTTGCATATTGTCACCGCCAATTGAATATCGATCAATTTGTCTTCGGTTATGAGACATTGAGTATGGAACTGGCGAGACAAGTGTTCATCTTCGTCAACCACCGCATGATTATTTGAATTCATGATACCGCTACTTGATCCCCCCTTGGTTCTCCGCTACTTGATTCCCTGTTTTCGACCCATTCCCAATATTTGCAGTTAGCACTGCAACAATTGAACAGTTTTTCCTTGTTCTTTGTATCCTTCTCGCCCTCAAAACACTTCACAAAGCCTACTTTACACCACGGGCAGTGCCGTTTTCTCATGCAATTCGCAAAGAAATGACCCTTTTGGCAACAACTATGACATACACCGGAGTTCTTCCCGGCATACTGCATACATAACAAGGACATATTTACATTAACCAACAACCACAATCAATTGTAAAACTACAGTGATGCACGCACAAATACTCAAAACTTACAGTAATGTGGTATAAAAATAAAGCTATTCAGAGATTAAAATCCCAAAACTGATTTTCTCACGTCACTGTAAAAAAATCAAAATCTCAATTCAAATAGATCTGTAAGCGTGCATCGCTGTAGATTGTATCTTTCGAAAACAGTGACATCGAACAAAACAAAAAATACACTGTGCTTACATAAAGTTTGCTTCGATTCGAGATATCGTCGGAGGCGAAGGCTGGAATATAAAACGACAACTGCTGGGACTTGGGGGAAATTGGAAGTGAAGGTGACGTAGCGGAAGATTA